ACTCATAGACAGAGTACAAACTTGTGATTGCCGAGGGCGAGGGGAGTGGGAAGAGACAGACTGGGAGTTCAAAATTTGTAGATACTGATAGGCATATGAAGAAAAGATAAACAGTATTACACTGTATAACAAAAGGAAATGTATACAAGATCTTTTGGTAGCTCACAGTGAAAAAAATATGAGAATAAACATATGTATGTTCATGTATATCTGAAAAGTTGTGCTCTAAACTGGAATTTGACACAACATTGTAAAATGACTATAACTCAATACAAAATGTTAAAAAAAGAAAGTCATCATCTTGCAATCATCAAAATAATACTTAATTTAGACACTCCTCACCAATGGATGCTAAAACCTTTGATAAAAGTTATTTGGGGAACATTTGTTGAGGAACTGAAAAGCTGTTTTAGTCTTAAAATATCTCTCCACTTATCACTTACTAATTACAAGGGTGGGGATGTTGCATTTCAAGTGGAGATATTTAGTAGACATCACCTTAATCAAATGATCAAAATTAATATGAACAAATCCCATGTCTTCTGGTGATATGCACTGAGAAGGATATAGTATTACTTCTGTGATATTCCTGCCAAAAATGCATCACTTGACTATAATTAGAAGAAAACATCAGAAGAAAACAAATGTATGGAGACTTAAAAAAATATCTTCCCATATTCATTTTTTAAAGTCAATGGTTAAAACCAAAGAAAGACTGAGGAACTGTTCCAGGTTAAAGATGACTAATGAAACATGATAACTAAATGCAAAGTGTTATCTTAGATTGGATAAAATAAAGTTGCATCTGATGATAGCATTAAGACAGTTGGCAAAATATGAATATGGGCTTTATGTGAGATAATTTACCATTGTAGAAATTTCTGAATTTTATAATTGCACTGCAACTATGTCAGAGAATATCCTTATTCTTACAAGGGGAAGAGATGTGAACCAGGCAAGGAAGCTTGCTACATGGATGTGACAATGCAGCAGGGTAAAAACTAGATAAAAGGAGAGAATGCAAATATATAATTGACTTTATGTTGCATTCTGTCCTCAGGATGCCTTAAGTAATAGTAAGAAAGCTAGCAGCTCCTGAAATGCACTTGACATGCATTTCCTTATTTGTAGCTTGCACAAGCAACTCTGTGAAATAAGTGCAGTTAGAATTCTCACCTCACAGATAAGGAAAATGAGACACAGAGAGGGTTAATCCTTTGCCTATGCTGACAAATCTTATAAGTGGCAAATTTTAATCCATATTATCTAGCCTGTTATCCAGAGACTACTTCTCTCAGGAAAATCTGCATTGTTTATTGTGTTAGTAAAGATGCTTTGTCTTTAAACAACAGGAAACTTTAATCAAACCAATATATAGTCTGATGTAACAGGCAGTCCAGTGGTAAGTTGAGTTTCATGCAAAGAGGTTATCAGTGCAACAGAGATGGTATCAAGGGCCCCAGTTTTTATGTCCCTGCTCTTCCATGTTCAGAGTTGGCCTTCTCAAGCTTTTGCTCAGAAGGCTGCCCCAAATTTAGCATTCACATCAAGATAGGATGATGTCCAGGGACAGAAAACCATCTCTTCCTGGGGCTCTTTATAGGGATGGGGAATTTTCTCACCTTAACCCTTCCAGCAGACATTGCCCATAAGCATATTGGGAAGCCTTGGGTCACATGCCAATTTCTAAATGGTTCTGTGCCTGGGTCTTAATTTAAAAACATGAGTGAGGGAGCAGCCAAAATGGCAGAGTAGAAGGATGCCCTTAGCTCACCTGCTACCACAAATACACATGAGGGAAATCCACAGACTCACCCATTCACTTAAAACATGTCCTGAACTTTGATAGAATATTTCCTTCTTCAAAAGAAAAATTCCTCAAAAAACTTATAGAAGAAAAAACAGGAAAAGAAAAAGGAAATTAGTGTGGAACTTGTACAGGAGGGAGGAAGCTGAAAAGAAGGAATAGTGCCCTTATGCGGGATACACCCTCTCGAACAAAGGTCAGGGGGACAGAGGGGAAACCTTCAGAGCTCAGATCTGTGCACAGCAACCACTTGGCTGACAGCTTAAGAGAAACTGGCACAAAGGGTCCCTGTGATCCCCAGCAGTGGCAGACTGGGTTCGGCTGGCTGCCCATGCAAGGCAGAGGCTGACTGCAGAGATGCAGCCTCGGGGCTGAAGGGTGCTGTGTGATAGGATTGGGAGTGTATACAGAACAAAATAGAATTACTGGGGATCAGCCAAGATGGCAGAGTAGAAGTACTCTCATAGCTAACCCTCTCCCACAAATACAGCAAAGTTTACATCCATGGACCTACCCAGCCAACCAGAGCACCTGTTGAACTCTGATAGAACATCGCCTTTTTCAAAAGACAAAGACGCCATGAATATGGCTGGAGAAAAGGAAAAAAGAAAGAAGAAAAAGCAAAATAGTCTGGGACCAGTCCCACAGGGAGGGAGCAACAAAGGAGGAATATGTTCATTTGCTGGGTCTCCCCTTCTCCAATGGAGAGATCAACAGGACGAAGGGGGAACCTCTGAGGCTTGGATCTGTACAGAAAAGCCCTTGACTGAAAGAACTAAGTTAAACAGGCACAGAGGGTCTCCACAACACCCAGGGCTAGAGGCAATGTGGCAGGTGGGGGACAGGACAAGCTGCCCTAATCGGGTGGTGAACTGAGGCAGGCTGTACAGAGGCAACCCTGGGGGACTGCAGGGTGCTGTGTGCCATAGTTGGGAGGATATAAAGAGAAGAACAACCTGCGTCCTCCATAAAATATGATTAAAAAAAAAGCAACATGGCTGGTGTGCTCTAGGGGGAAGTGTACCATAGATTCCATCTCCAAAAACCTGCTGAGCCAGTTTTTGGGAGAGAAGGGAGGCAGGGCTCAGCCACAGCCACCATATCCTCCAGTGCTTAGCACCCAGGTGGGTGCAGGGTTGAAACCTGAATCCAGACCTAGGGGCTTAGTAGCCTCATAGGCAAGAGGGAGACTTGTTTACAGCTTGAGGCAGATAGGGTCATTCTGCCTAGGTACCTCTGAGAACTCATGCCTCCAAGACAAACAAACAAGGAGCTGAGTTCTGGCATGGAATAGAGGCGAATGTTGTTCTGCCATCTTCCCTAAACCTACTTATGGAGCATGGACCTGAGGCAGAGCTAGCATCTCCACAGAGCAGGGAAGCAACTGGCACTGGGAGAGGGTGGGATCAACCACCTGCTTATGTGCAGGAGCACAGCACATGACCTCAGTGCTGTGAGGGGGTGCAACCTGCCTGCCTACCATGTGCAAGCACATCTGACCACAGCATCAGGAAAGGGAATGCTCTGCCTGCAGACCAGCACTGGGAATACCAGAGACCAGGGACACCAACAGAGGGCCTCTGGAAGCAGCAATCAGAGTTCACACAGCAGGGATAGGACAGAAAGACCTCTCAATAAAATCATTAAGAGTACACAGAACCAAGGGAACACATCTATCTTTTATTTTTTAATGTTTTTCTTTTTCTCTGTTCTTATGCTTCAGATAGATAAATAAATAAACTCTTAAAGGACCACAATACATAACTAATACTCCATAAGACACAGGGCCAAAGTGACATGAGCAATATAAAAAAGCAGAGGAAATAATCCCAATTAAAATTTAAGAGAAATCCCCTGAAAGAATGATCAATGAATTAGACATTGATAGCCTGCTAGATCAAGATTTCAAAAAAGGAGTGATCAAAGTACTGAAGGATCTAAAAGAGGCAGTGTTTAGAGACATAGGATATGGTTATAAAGAGGGGCCAATTAAAATTTGAAAACTCATTGGCCAGGATGAGAGCTGATCTTAAGTCTGTAAAAAGCAGGCTAGATAATGCAGAGGAAGAAATAAGTGACCTAGAAGACAGGACAATAGAAACCACCCAATGAGAAAAGCTGAGAGAAAAACAAATGAAAATCAATAAAACCAAAATGAGGGACTTATGGATTAATATAAAGTATGCCAATCTATGCATAATAAGGGTTCCAGAAGGGAAAGAAAGAACAAAGGGGGTTGAAAGGTATTTGAAGAAATCATGACTGAAAAATTCTGAAGATCTAAAGAAGGAAACAGATATCCAAGTACAGGAAGTTCAGAGGATCCCAAACAGGAAGAACCAAAACAGACCCACACAAAGAAATATTATAATCTAGATGGCCAGGTATAAGGATAAAGAAATTATCTTAAAGGCTGCAAGAGAAAAAAGAAAGAATGAGTTACAAGGGAAGGCACATAAGGCTCT